GCCTCTAGGATTAAGAGAGAAAACCTGGCGGTTGAGCATGATCTTGGTCAAAGCACCTCCTTGCACAACCGTTGGCCTAGAAACAGTGCTTTCCCTAAATAGCGCTGAACCCCAGAACCTTCATGGGTTGTAGTGGTACAGGTTATATTTTTTCTCTCATTATGCAATTTTATTTTGTTCTACTTTTTATGTATATTATATTGTTATTACTCCATTCATTTATGATTCTGTAAATATGGTGTGAATGTGCTCTCTGAACTCTAATATTAGTGTCCTTAATTGAGACAGGTTGTAATATTTCTCAATAAACATGTTAATAAAGATTTCTAAAAAAATGAGGTACTAATGACTCATGAACACTTGAATCCTATATATTATTTCTGAAAGGTGTTTTTTTGTCGGTACGCCATAACTTCGTCAATTCTTCATCAAATTCAATGATTGACCACTCATTTTGAAGATATTCTTCTCCTTCACATGCAAAAAATAGTGCTATCTCCCCGAAATTTCTGAGGGAAAAGTTATGAAGGAAAACAAACAATATTTTCGAATAACTCAAAAAGTATGCATTTTGTTCTTAATCGTACTCATTATAATTAGAAAGATTACTAAATTACCTTCACAACTAAAAAAAAAAAAAAAAAAAAAAAAAAAAAAAAAAAAAAAAAAAAAAAAAAAAAAAAGTAAAAATCGATTAGAAATATGTATAATTTAAACAATTTGTGTTGACGGAAGGAGTAAAGTGATTTGAAATATTTTTTTTTAAATAGAAACAGAGTTGAGATTGGTATTTCGCAGCTGGAAAGATCCTCGAATACGGATTTTCATTCCATGATAATTAGAAAGATTACTAAATTGCTTACAAATCAAAAAAAATTGTAAAAATCGGACAATTATTAACAAAGATACAGTCCATTAGTTTTGGTATACTTAATAATGTCTTCCTCTTTAAAGATATTGCATTTAGGAGTAGAATAGTCTACTACACTTTTTTTCCTGGCTGATATATTAACTTTATTATTTCTTAAAGGCATTTGTTTGTTCTTACATTTTATTTTTTTTAATAATTTAGAAAATCCCATGATCGGGCATTATTTTGTCTTTATTACTTTTATTATCTTTCCAGTCAGCGTTTAAAAATAGGTCCTAGCAAAGCAATTTGTACAAATATTTTGGTCTATTATGTTAAATGGAATATTGTAATCGACCAAGGAAAAAATATTAATTCCTTCCTTACATAATACATAGGATCTACTTATTTCCATATTGTTTTGCTATTTCTTCACTAAACAAAATTTTCTGCGAATTACTCGCACGAGCCAACTAGTCGTAGTATAGTTTGATCACAATAGTGTTGGGCCGTTCGGCGTAACCTTCAACCCCAACATGTCAAAGTTATGTAGGCTCTACTGCCTAATATTTTTATAGGCCACATTTTTTCTTGATTGTATGATCAATTTATCTTACGATTCATTTGGAAATCTGATGAGTTTTAGTACCTTATTAAATTAATTAGTTTTATGAAAATAGCCCTTTTATTAAAATATCCGTAGATAAAAAAGCTGTTGGCTACGATAAGATAAGGCTACGAATTGTTTTAGACAGAAGTTAGTAATTTCATAAAAAGTTTTATGTACCGCGGATTATTTAATAAAAATATATGAAGTGAAAGAACTCTTCCTTACTGTAAGCTCCTTAATTTTACTTAAAATAATATCTACTTATTATTTTATGGCACAATATAATAAATTACGAACCATATAAAAATAATAAGGATTAATATGGTACATAAAAACCACGAAGAATAAATTTGAAATAATAAAAACATTTCTATTCAAATGCCGAAGAGAGGTGTAAACGGTGGATTAATCCAGTTTTCGGGATTAAAGACTGTCATAAAACTTCTGTAGCGGGAAGCGTGTACGAGACGGCTAAGTGCGAGGGGCGAAGGGGGTGGATTCAGGTAATGGATTCATTTCAATTGGACTTGGCGCAGTAAACTGTGCTACGCGGCTTGAGAACGCGCGGCATCCGAGCAATGCGGCGCGTCAATTTTCATTTGGCCCCTGGAGCGGCAGTAAACTAGACAAAGGCCTTAATCATTCCTCACTAATTAATTTATACTTTTTACTGCTTTTTTATGACCGCTATTCTCGCTCCAAGTTTTGGTGAAGCGCTGGCACAAAAGGTTCTGAAACTCCCTCAATGTCATTAACCACTTCGGGAGCGAAATTGTCGCAAACAGAATTACTGACTTCGTTCGACTATATCGGTAAGATAAATCGGTTAGTGTATGTCCAGAAATAACGAAGTTGTCCACCTCTATTGAGGGTTCGATCAGATGAATTATCTTTTTTTTAATTATTATTTATATGATATTTACAACTGCATGAAAATAAAAAAAATACATCTAGTAACATCGTAAATGGATAAAATGACATGGAACACATTGGTAGCACTCTAATAATATGTCTATATTAGAAAATCACGAGGCCATCTTCTTTTCAGTAGCCTCGGAGCGTTATCAGAAATTGAATAAGAAACAAGGTTATGAAGTTTATTCTGGAAGGATGGATTTCTGGATTGGGCTTAATCTGATACATAAGGAACATTAAGGTCATTGTGAATGATTTTATTTGTAACGAAGTAAGTATTATTGAGGATTTTACGAAGAATTTTGGATTGTAAGGATTGGATACGAGAAGAATTTGAAGCTCCATAGCTCAACTCCGTCGGAAGTAATCGGAAACGTCGAGCGGTTTCTTATCGTTTTAGTCTGGTATGAGGATTCCAGTATAGTATAGTTTGATTGTACAGGTGGAGTCATAGATAATGGATTTGTTCAACAGGAATTAGTGAGGTGTTGTTAAAGGATACTGAAGGGCAAGAAGTCATTGATTTACGATCATGAATTATTTAAAAACAAGTCGAATACAAAATTTAAACTATGATAAAATCGTAATAAGACCAATATTAGGGAACATCATAAATTCTTCTTAGCACCCAAAGTGGTAGAGAAAACCGTTAATATGTTTTTTAAAAGCAAGTTTATTTTATGATTAGCTGTTATTTTTACAAAAGAAACAATTTTAATTTAATGTTTTTTATTTTTCAATCGGAGTTTTCAAAGGAAATAAGTGTTTCATGTTCCACTGAATCCAAATCACTAACTATTATCAAAATATCTTTGTCTGTGTGTGACCAGCATACTCCAAAATCAAAAATCTCTCGAAACTGAATTTCTTTTTCTTTCTTCTCTGATTCCTCTATACGGATTTTTTTCTCGCGCCACGAGTTTAATACCAGAGTTAAATACCTCACTGGAATTCAAACTCTTACTCTTAAGGTTATCAGGTTGCCAAGCAACTCGTGAATAACAAACGCATTAGTCCGCTCGGCCACCCCGCCGTCTGAAATTGTGTATTTAATGTAGATGTCTGGGATGTTACAGTAACTTTTTCTTTAAAATCGACTTGACCAAAATAGTACTTTACATTGTTAGTTTAACAATTTTTTACATTTTTTTTTCGAGCACAGCTTTAATATTAACGGAAAAATTGAATGTTCTTTAATATAATTAAAATAGTCTAACATAATGTGACCAGATTTTAACATTAATAAAGCGGAACACCATTGCCAGGGGAGGGGCCAGGATCGTCCAAATTTCTTGTTACAATTATTATCTTTACATAATTATAATGTGATGCAAATTTTAATCGGATGACAAAGCATTCAGCTGAAATTAGGTAGAACATTTATATCTGAAGACGTATTTTTGATAGCGAATAATTTTGTGTTATATTTGACGTCTAATTTATGACTTCAATAGTAAGTCAGTTTGTACTCAATTAAACAAATATTTTTCAAAATTCTGTAAAACTTATTGAAGGTGACACAATTTTAGTATCACAATAGTAAAAGAAGTTAACTTGCTGATGCCCAAGATTTAACCTTTCCCTTATCAATATATATTTTTAATAATATTACCTTATCAAAAATATCATCACTAATTCCATGATTGGTTATTCCATGGTGGAGGTGGTTGAGTTACAAAAAAATGTTCAACTATGCGAACTTTGCTAAGCAGTTCTCAATAATCAGTTCTTAACAATTATTCGTTATTATTAAAGATTAATATAATAATATTAACAACAATATAAAACTGGTATCCTGGCGAAACTGCCACATGACTGCCGAAAACTGTATATACTTTTTTCGTTGTTCTGCCATTCCGTAGCTTGTCGTGCACTTTTTTTTTTTCTAAAAATCGGGACTTTTCTTGAACTCCAAGGGACAAATTGTTAAAAATCGGACAAAATGTCTGGTCACCTTAGTTTACCAAGACTTAAATATCGAATTTTCAAAAATTTTTTGAGTAGCGTAAATGTAAATATAGAGTGGAAAGTGAAAAATGTGTGATGCAAACTTTTATCCTGACCAAACTTTTATAAATGTCTAACCTTTAAAAGTTAAAATGTGTACAAATGTATTTTTTATATGTAATAATCTATTAGATTATTCAATATAAAAAAGAAAAAAAAAATCAGCTTCTGAATACCGGCTGTTCATAAGAAATGGTTCAATTTAATAGCTCTTTTTTTCTTTTCTTTTTTTTTTTATCGAGCCTACAGCAATCGAAACAAAAACAAGAATCGAGATATATCTGTTTAATAAAGGAACGTACTGGGTTGGTCATTAGTACGGAGACCTTCTGGTCCAAAAAAAAAAAAAAAAATGGAAAGAAATAGCTGCTGCATTGGAACGCGGCATACGTATCTTGCGTATCCTCCGAATGTTATTGCCTTAGATATTAAAATGGAATAGTAGAGAGCCGATACCCTCTCTTCCGATTCCAATAATCCTTTACCATTTTTCACGTGGATATTAAAAAATCTCCAGTACAAATTCGAGGCATTAGAGGGCGCTGGGGTTGAGCTATTTTTCATAACCGGGGCTAATGATGACGACATGGATATTAGGGGCCACACGTGGTCGTGACGTCAGACAATTACGCCGCCATCAAACACTGTCACCATCGACAGAGGACTTTCCTCCGTCGAATTAGAATTAATTGTTGGCTGAGGCCGGGAGGGAGCGCTAGTGCAGCCCTTGTAAATAGCCCCGATACAGCAGGCTCTGGAATTAATCGTTTACCATTAACGAAAAGGAGGACATTTTTCAAATAAGCCTGGAATCCATTTGTAAAAGGCAGGAAGGAATTACCAACGAGTGTGAATGTTCTCTTCGCCCAATGTATAAGGCCTAAAATACTAATATCAGCCTAATTAATCTTCCAATTTTTAGCTTATTTTATATGACTCATAACTCTTGGATTTAGTTCGAGGTACACACCACTTTTTATCAAATTATAAACATCCGCCTGAAACTTCGTAAATAGTTTCCTCTCATCGTAACCTACGACTATTTTATTTACGAAAACTCTTGGAATTGGGGCGTTTTCAACCTGGAGAGGTGCAAACTTTGTCTATTTAAAGTACTAAAAACTCGCCACATACTAAAAACCATTTGCTATCTACTTAGATCATAAGATAATTTGATCACAAAATCGAGAAAAAGGTGGCCCTGAAAATATTGAGCCATTTGGAGTGACCTACGCCTTCTAATTTTCAAAATAACTAGGTTATATAGAACAAGCGGCCCAATATTTTTGTAGACCACCTTTTTTATCGATTTTGTGATCCAATTATTCTATGATCCAAATAGAAAGCAAATGGGTATTTACTAGTTTTTGTACCTAATTAAATAGACAAAGTTTCCTCCCCTCCAGATCGAAAACGCTCCAATTCCAAGAGTTTTCATAAATAAAATAGTTGTAGGTTACGATGAGATGAAGCTATTTACGATGTGTCAGGCGAATGTTAACAATTCGATAAAAAGGGGTCTGTACCACTGATTGTTTCTTTTTGAAGTGAAATCTTTTTTAGGTTAGGTAGTTTTGTACTTTGTGGAGGGTGAATTAGATTGATCCGTCAGATATTAACGCTCGGGTAAAGTCGGCTATAGTCGATTAATTGAAATGTTTTTACATATGGTCTAAAATATCTCAGAAACTAAAAATCGGGCCTGCATACTGTAAGCGAGGAAATTGTTCAGCATTTCATCCTCTCTGTAATAAGCTATAATTTAAAATTTTATCTTAACGTGCCGTGTTAGGGAGGCAAAAAAGAAAAATAGTGTCGAAAATCAAATGATAACGAGATTAGTTGAATATATGGATTAAAATATTTCAGATATTAAAAATCGGACCTGTATACTGTAAGAGAGGGAAATGTTCAACATTTTGTCTTCTTTGTAATGAGCTATTATTCAAAATTGTATCTTAATCAAACACTGCGTTACAGAGTAGGAGAGGAAAAATATAGTGTCCAAAACCAAATAATAACGATATTATGCTAATATAAAGTACATATGCTTATATTATTACAACATTTCAATTTTATTTTGACAACATTATTAACAATATATAAAAAATAAGAAGAGAAATGATATAAATTATAATAATAGCTGAAAATCTTAGGTATAGTTGAAAATATATAATAATATAACATTAAATAACCTTCCAACTGGAGATTTCCACATAAATATTATACCGTTATTATATTAAATCGTTGAATACAACATAAACTAGTAAATATTACTAATTTAAATAAGTAAATTATAAATCATTAAGGACATTTTTAGATTGACCTTGCCTTGATGTCTATATTTTATGCAATAGAACTTTGTTATTAACTTTAAAAATTTCTAATTGAACAAAATTAAACTAATTAACCCTAACTACTAATTTCTAATGAAACTAATTTCACACTCAATAACATAAAATCTAATAGTAACAATAATGTAAAAAACTCAATAGGGATCTATCAAATGCTTGACATAATAAATAAAATAGACATTTTTTTTTTTTACTTTCTTTATTGAATATTAATACATTCTGCCACGTTGAAGTGCAAAAATAAACAATAGGTAAATGTTGTTTGATCTGTTTTGATATGGAAATTTATTTACCAATATCAACTGAAAACATGTAATGAAAAATACTGAGATACAACAGAACCGCATACCCAAATTAAAGTGCTTTATGGAAGATATGGATTAAAATATCTTAGAAGCTAAAATTTGGACTTGCATACTGAAAGCGAGGAAAATGTTCAGAATGTGCCCCTCTTTATAATGAGCTATTATTTCTAATTTATATTTGATATTATTAATCTCGCCTTCAATCTTATGGTCTAAAGCACACACCTTAGTTTTTCTTTAACTTAACCTTTATTCAGCCATACATTAGAGGAGCCCCGAGACATTAATCTTGACACTTCCATTCTGGTTGAGACGACGATGGATCCTCCAAAGAAGGCGGGATTTTATATTATGAATAAAAATTATGAGTGATAATTAACATAATTATTGTAGAACGAATAATATTATATCATGTATAAACATAAATTTATAATTTTTTTTTCTTTGCCATTTCAACGTATGTTAAACATTCTATTCTCCAATACTTCCAATTTCCCAGATAAATTTGATAAATCCTCACATTGCTTAGGACATGTTGACATATACATCTTTTAATATCAACTAAATTTTCAATAATAGATACATAGAGCTTGATAAAATACTTCCGTACCTACTTCTCGGCCTTAGCTTAGCAATCTAGTCGACTTTTCTTCTTTTTTTTTTTAGTTTACATATTCATGTAGATTATTGTAATTGATTTTTTTTTATCTCTAAAATATTGGAGGAGCTAAACGTTATTCTAGCCCCCTTCTCCCCTCTATTTTTATTAGAAGGGGGGGGGGGGCGATCGTCTCCCTCGTCCCCACGAAGTCTGCGCCTATGCTACTATTCTGGTTAGTACGGCAACCTCTATGATTAGCAAATAAGACCACGTGACCCACTTGCCGGAGCTGGTTTCCCCCACCAGTACTAGTACCAGTTTCAGTACCTATTCATTAGATATCTCGGAAAAACTCGAATGCTATTTTTCAAGGGAAATGCATGTTTTAAGGTTCTATGCGTCCGAATAACGAAGTCTCCAAAATAGTTTGAGTGTATGTGAACAATTAGTTTGAAAACGCAATGTTTTCAAAAATTAAATTACGCATTTAAGGTTGGTATATAGCTAGGATGTTAATGAACTTTTTCTGCAAAATCAACTTACCGCAAAGTGTACTTGATTTTATTGATTTAACGCATTGGTACGATTTTTTCGAAATCTATTTAAATGATTTTTTTTCTGTTGGGATTACAGACCATGTAGATATTTTGCCGCTGTAACAAACCTCCTCTATCTCTGCCTGTCTTGAGATATATCTTTCCATTTGCCTGTGCGCAGCTCTATTTCATCTTTGTCTCTTCTATCTATCCATCTGCTTTTTGTCCTTCCACGTGGTCTTTTGCCTTCTATTTAGGCATTCATTCTTACCTAGAGACTTCCAGATAGAATGCTCCAAGCTTGTACTCCGGCCATCTTAACTTCCGTGCCTTCATATCATGGGATATTGATTCACCAGTTTCTGTAAGTAGTCCTTTATTGATATTTCTTCTCCATGTGTTTGTATTGTGATCCCAGACCGCTCCGGTTATCGTGTGGAGGATTTGCCTCGCAAAGTTTTCATCACTTTTTTCTAGGATGCTGTTTAGTGTCCAGGTCTCACAGCCATATATTATAAATGGCTTTATCATAGCATTGGTTTGAGACTTCTTGAGTTTTTTTTCGGGATTTCAATAATCTTGAGAGGGAGGAAAAACCTAAAGATTTTTTTTTATTTAATGCCTTTTACAACACTAGTCATATGTCGTCATCAAAAACAAGTCTTTGCCATCTTCTTCTATCCTGCTAATCTTCTTCACGCATGCCCTTGTTCATCATCCCTTTCTTTTAACTTCCTCTTAACAGGTTCTCCTCGGGCGACCTTTCTTCTTTCTTCTTTCCGGTTTCCAATTCCAAAGGTCATGGTCCCTCTTCCATCCTCATCACACGTCCATACCACTTGGGGCTCACAGTTTCAAAGGTATGGAGGATGTACTCCATTTGTTCCACTCGTTTCCTTATTTCACTGTTTTGATCTTTGTGAAGGCGAGAGACACCACATGATAGTCCACTTCTAGGGATAGCAATCTTTTTGATTGATTCTCTTTAATTATCCACGATTCGGCTGAATGGAGAGTCAAACTTTTCAGGAACGATTTATTTATTTATTTTTTGTGCGTTTGAGGACACTGTTTTACTCCAAAGAACCGAATTTAAGGTCCTGATGATTATTTTACCATTGTTTATTCTCTTTTCAGTATCTATGTCTGATGCTTCTGTGATAGCTTCCTAGAAACTTAAATTGAGCTGCAAGTTACAACATCCGATTGTTAATTTGAACATATTCGCTTTGGCTATTAAAGGCCATGAATGCCGCATTTTCTTTGCTTACATCCAGCCCTCAGTTTGAGTATTACTGGAGAATTTTTCTCATCATTCTATTTTGATTCTATATTGTAGATATATATTCTATCATATCTTCTACTTCTGAAGTGAGGAGTCGCTCTAGCTGATCCAGTAGGGGGGTCTGCCTCTCCCTCCCACCTGGAAGCTTGAAAAAATTCCAAAAAGCACCTATTTAAAGAAAAGAGAAATATAGGGAAAATTCATCCCCACAGAAGATGAATTTCCTAATGTAATATAAAAAAAATTACTATCGTGACCAGCACTAGCGAATTCTGCAAGGGGGCGTGACCTCCCTTAGATGGTGTAAAAAAATTCCAAAAAAAAAAAAGTGGCAAAAATACCTATTTAAAGAAAAGAGAAATATAGAGAAAATTCATCCTCATACAGGAATTTCCTGATATAATATTAACAAAAAATATTATCCTGACCTGTACTAGCGAATTATGCCAGGGGGCGCACCCTCCCTTGGATGCTGGAAATAATTACGAAAAAACACCTATATAAAGAAAAGAGAAATATAGAGAAAATTCGTCCGAAGGAAGTCACGAATTTCCTAATATAATATAAAAAATATATATATTATCGTGACCAGCAATAGGCAAACTCTGCCAGGGACCGCGCCCTCCCTTGGTTGGTGGAAAAAGAAAAGAGAAATATAGGAAAAAATCATCCTCGAAGGCGAATTTTCTAATGTGATATAAAAAAAAATATTATCTTGACCAGCACTAGCGAATTCTGCCAGGGGACGCGCCTTGCCTTGGATGCTGAGAAATGTATTAGAAAATCAGCAATGTATTTTTCTTCAGTTATGTATACCTAATATATTTTTTTTTTTTAGATTGAAAATTAGAGTGGAAATCTGAACAAATTCTAGAGAATAAAAATTTTCTCTCCAGCTAGCTGGAACAATTCTAGCCGCACTGGAGGCCAACCGAAGATTAAACTAACTAGCTGCGCGATATCTGACTGGAGTTACTCCCAGTAGGCTCATGAAGAATCCTCAGTTATCTACTCCCCTCCCCCTTCCTCACCCTCCTCTACCCCTGGAGTCAGTTATTAGTCGGAGGACTTTCTTCCTTTATCGGCGGTCCTCTGGGTCTTCGGTATCTCTCCTCTCCAGGATCTGTCTTTTATATCCTCCAGTAGTTAATAGTAGTCCAGTTTGTTAGGTCCTGATATCGACGCCTAGGGGGCTCTAAATCCTTCCTTTTATGATATGTAGTATAGGACTAATTCTTCCTTATTTATAGTAATATGTGGTCTACAAGAACATACAAACTTAATGTCTGCTAACAAAAAAAAAAGAAAGAAATTTTTTACCAAATGACATCATTACATTCAAATTGAACGAAATCCTTCGTTAAACGAGGTCCATTTTTAAGAGGAAAGATAATTTCCGTTAGTTTTTATTACTTTCGTTTATGTACGGCTTTTAAGCGAATACGGTATAGTCCAGGAGCCCGTGAAAAAAATTGAAATCATCTGTAGAATATTTAGGAAGCATTTTTTAAAATTGTTGTAGCATTTATATTTAAAAAGCATCATACTATCTAAAATAGCGTCTGATTTTAAGAATATTAGGTCACTTACTTGAGGATCAAAATAGAAACTTTATTACGAAAAAATGTTGAAGTTTTTATTTTCCTAACTTGTATGTATCAGTTTAAAAATAAATTTGGAAACGCTGGTTTCCACCACGATAAAACTTTTTACATGCAAAAAAGCCAGATTTTTTTTAACGTAATCTTTAAGAAATAAAATAATGTTTAATTTTGCTTCAAAAGAGTACTTAAATTTAATAATGTGGTCAAGTAGTATGGTCGAGAACTCTTATTTTTATCAAATTTGTCAGAAACTGAGACTATTCACTATAAATGGTCCTGCAGATGACTGAGTTTTCTTAGAGAAAAATCTCATAGAATAAAAGTTGTAGAGCATCGAATTCCGCGTCCACTGAGTACCAACAGTTTTAATTTAGGTCAATTATATCTCTCAAATCGGAATCCTAAATTCTGAAATTATAATTCTTCATTTCTCAATGAAATTCCCTTTATCTTGATGCCTCATTCATCAATATCCATCGCTCTTGAGAGCCGGGAAAGAGATCTATATTACCGCATTATATTTAATTTAAATTTAACGAAGGAATCGATAAGATGCTTTCGATACTATATAGATCGATAAGTTAGTGGTCTTAGATATTTTATTTATGTTAAATTAGTGAATGTTTGCAATGATTGCAGATGAAGGGGAGAAAGGTTAATGCTGATTGTTTTTCCTTTTGGACCATTACTCCCTGGAGCATCCCTTAATCGGGGCCGGAGGAAGACGCAATCAGGACCCATTAGGTCCTGGCCATCCTGAGTATCCTGGCCTAACAAAGCCCCTGCCCTCCAGACGTGTCCTGGGAGCTAAGACCTGGAGAACTCCCGCTGGACTCCAGCAGAGTAGTCATCAACTGATTGTGATGCATGCTCTGGGACTGCATCATCTGTATTCTCTCTAGGGTCGCTTTTAAATTAACTCCAAATGGAGGGAGGATCCACGGGCAACTTTCCCAATTATTATTTAAAACCGGACGGCCGTATCAACCCGACGGCCTACTCTTAATATTCAACTCGCTTGACGGATTTCCATACTTTTTTTCATTCATTATTTTTGGTTATATATTTTCGATCAAAGTTTGATTGGAGTGGATTACATCAAGTAGTCCAGAGGTTCATGCCAAAAAAATATGAGATTAGATTCTTTCATACTGATATTTGGCTATTTAAATAAAGAAAAATGCCTTTTATCATTTCCGAGATATCCGCCCTCATAATGCACTATTTGTAAATATAAAAAAAAGCCTCATATTCAACTAATTTATAATGACAACTAAAGCGTTTTCTGAACACAACTGAAGTGTTGTCCCGAAAACCAGAATTTATAAATAATAAAACATATAAGGACAAAAAATGAATGCTGTTTGAAATGCCTAATGACCTTTGTTATTTCCTAATGGCCTTTAATATTTCCTAATAATAAATTTGAATATACCTTATAATAATTTTAATGGAGTTCATATTCTATGTAATTCGTTGTGCCGAATAGAATGGTAATAGTCGAGTGGTATATTGGGGGCTAGGAGAAACGTCATAATTATTTGTATTTTTCCTGTTCTAATCTAAACCAATTTAAATTTATCCAGAGGCTCTACCAAACCATCGAATTCCTATCGTATCCAATCCTTACAATCCAAAATCCTTCGTAAAATCCTTAATGCCTCATATTTTGTCACAAATAAAACCATTCATAAAGATTAATGTTCCATATGCCGCTGACTTAGCCCGAGCCAGTACCTATCCTTTCATGATAAACTCCAGTTCCATCCGAATTCACTTGTTTCCAGCTTTACTTCTCCTCGATTCCTGATAATCCCCCTAGGTGTCTGAAAAGGAGATGGCCTCGTGATCTTCCTACCTAGAATTAAATAGGGCTACCACTGGGCATCTCTTCAAGTCTGTTCATGTCATGATTTCTAATTTGTGCATTTTTACTAGTTGTATTGTTTTACTGTTGTAAATTTCATTAAATAAATAAATAAATGAAATGTATCCAAGTCTAAATACAAATACTAAAGTCAAATAATGAAAATGCTTTGCAACCATACTATATTTAAAAATAGTTATAAATAAAAATTCTCAACTCAGTGGCGTTCATCAACGAAAATAAAGTGGCTGTAACAAAACTTTCTCATGCTTTTCCTCAATGTGTTTTGAGAGCCAATAATACAAAGCAAATATTAACGACATTTGGACTAAAATATCTCAAAATTTAAATACCTTGGATAATTCAGAAACCAATTTGTGGAAGTCAATATAGATTTTTTTTTAATTGTCTATAAAGATAAGAAGTTATGTGTTTATATTTTATTTTCGATTGCACTCGATAGAGCTTCGACAAATTACTGACCCCTGTTATAGAAGTTATATTTTAAAATATACGAAGTTCTTGGTAGATATTTAGCAAACATATTTTAATCAAAATTGTTCATCACACATTTTCGTTACAAATTCGCATAGTTCGTATGGTACAAATGGCAATAAATAAGAGCAAAGTTTGCTGCAGTAATTTATTCACAATTATAATTGTATATATTGTAAGTTTTCTTATTTTGTAAATATAGAACAAGAATTAGTTCATACAAAATTACAATTATATAAATTGTAAATGTTTCTGAATTCTGAAAAAAAAAAGTACTTTC